GGCCACGGGCTGGATCTGGACGTGGCGGCGGAGCGGGGCAGCAGCACGCAGACCTCGCACCGGCTGCTGGCCTACAGCGACGCGCTGCTCTCCATCATCGCCACCGTCATGGTGAGCGGCGCCGGGCTCCGCGCGGGCCGCGCCGCGCCCGTTTCCTGCCGCCGTCCGCGGCGTTGCGGGCGTTTTCCTCCTGCGAGGGGCCGCGGCGGGTGGCGGCGCCCTCCGTAACGGGCCCTGTCGGGACGCTGCGGCGCGGGACGGGCCGGCCCCGCTCGCGGGGAATAAAAGCGGGATGCGGGTTACTGATTTATCGCGGGGGTGACCCCGCGTGCTCACACTCTTAGCGTTTTTGGAGGGTTTTGTTTTCTTCTTCTGCTTGTTTCCGTTTTTAATGAGGTTCCCAGCCAGACACCCGTGGTGCTCAGTGTGGTTTTGTCCTTGCAGATTCTGCCCGTGGCTCACACGAAAATACATCCCGACCAGGTAGTGTCCGCATCCCGTGCACAACGTGCTGCCCCCAGCCGCACAGCCAGGGAAAAGAGCCACCGTGGAGCGAACACGGAGCCCGCAGAGACCCCCGAAGGGCTCCCGCACCCGGGAAAACAGTCGCAGAAACAGATCGGGATGCTCCGAGTAACCCACGAAACCAGGGTTGAAAGAGTGGAGTCATTCTGAAGTTACGAGCCATAGGTTTTATTCGGTTGCCCCAATACGATTTATGTGTTGGAGACGAACGTTTTTGTGAAAGCATTTGTTTACATATTATATATTTTTATATATTTGGCATCAGTTGAAGAACATACTATACCATAGTATACAGCATACTATAGTGCAGGCTGAATGCCGATGTTAAAATAAGGCCAATTGTAAAGATCTTCAGCATGGATGGCGAAAAAGAGTTTGCTTGAAAGGAAGTGTATTTAAAAAATGTATTTTGTGATGATACGTAATTCCTCACTGGCGGACATTGCCCATAATTTCCAAGTGTAGCATTTACCTTTCTCCCCTTATTTTGTCTGCTTGTCACTTCATGTTTTGTTTCAGAAACTGGGTGAAAGTGTCCAGCAGCTCCTCCTAGCAAAAATTGCGGTCTACTTGATGACCTTCTTGATAGTCACAGTGGCATGGGCAGCTCACGTAAGGTAGGAACCCAGGGAGAGCTCAATACCGCTGCACTGCTAAGGAAACTGCCGTTTAGAAGCACAGGAGATAACAGCGTATCTGATACATGACTATTTTGGATTACCTTTTGTTGGATAGTATTAAAAAGAAACACCCTACACAGTGGCTGAATGTACTTTTACACTACTGAAAGGGCAAGATAAAGGAAAACTTGTCTTTAAAACAAGTGTTACATCTTTAAAACTGAAATTACTTGTTGTTCAACTTCATATTCTAGGTAGTTTTAAGCTTATTTTTGTGCTAGAAGAGCACGACTTCTTAAATTGTGTGCTGCACAAGTAGAAGGCTGCAGAATGTTGGTTTGAAGTTTGTCTTTCCCAATCCTCAACAGCACTTCTTACCAAGCTGACATTGCAGATGCTGCATTTTACAGAGCTCTGGACACTGCTACATACCCATTTATTATTTAATAAGAAATAACATTGTGGGATTTTGGGGGAGAAAGGAGAAGACTGGAGGGAGTGGGCAGTTTTGGCCTACTGCCATAGTGTGCTGAGGGGTTCTAAAGAGCAGGGAAAAGTTTGTCATATTTGCAAAGAACAGGGAAAAGTTTGTCATATTTCCATTCCCATAAAACACAGTTTTGATTGTGTGAAGCTACTAAAAATTATTGTGCCTTCTTTAGTGTTGAGTTAGCAGAGGCAGTTTTTGTTTATCTTTTCCTAATAACTTGCTTTCTCAGTAATTTCAAATATTTACAGTAATTAAATAGCACTCAGCTATAACCCAGTGATTTTTTTTATGTCTCTGAACTAATAATCTTATCTGTAAAGAACACCCTTCAGGGCTAACAGGTCAGCTGAAATGTTGCACTCTACAATTATTGTGTATTAGAAAGCTAGGAGTGAGTACTGCAGTTCCAAACGAAACATGACCTGAGAAAGTGTTATGTCAAATCTGAGAATTTATCAAGATCTAGGTTAGTATCAAGTTAACTTTGCATCTTACTCTCTGCAGCTTTTGGAATCAGGATAGCTTTCATTGGGATTTTGTAACTTACAAATTTTCCTATACTTTTTCTTACCCTTAAGTAAATGGATTTACCAGATTCTATGAGACATGTGCAACCTTTAATTCGATACCTGCAATTGGTTATTTCCCATGAATACTTCCCATGATTTCCCATAAATCACCATTGTCATTCTTCATCTGCATAAGTAAATGCTCAAGAATAGTTTTTAAATATGAATATTGGTCTGAACCAGGAACTTCATTGACAGACGGGGGCAGATGATGCATTTGCCAGAAAAAGATTATTTTCTATTTGCAATAGTAACAGTGTTGTATATTTACGATAAATAATAAATAATAAATAATAAATAATAAATAATAAATAATTTTAAGCCCTGGTTTCAGTATATCAGATTCAGGTAAAGAAAAAAATATATATTAAAATGTCATATATGAAATTATATGTATATATGTATAATTATACATATAATAATATACATATTGTATATATATATAAAAGACTCAGATTTTGAAAGCATTAGCTTGCTTGTATTCTTTTGAGTCAAATTTGGGGAAAATGAGAATAGTAGTTCTTAGTTCTTCACAAGAGACAGATAAGCTGGAGATTTTGGATATATCCTGGGCATCTGGATCTGCTCTGGAAAGCTCCGAGCAATGCTGTTGCAGAGCTCAGCTTATTCTGAAAAGCTGAAAGTCAGTCTTGATGACTACAACTCTTATTTTGAGATGTGAATGTCAAGTAGACTTGTCCAGGGTCTTGTGTGAATGGCAGAGTGTCCAGTGTGAAAGTCTGCCTATATTTTTGGTCAGCAGTATTTGCATGAGGAATAAGTCTGGCTGCAAGTCTCTAATTACTTCCTGGACCTTGCCTGTGTTCAAGTGAATCAGTATTTGATTGATACCTAGTAACAGGTACCCTGTACATGCTGAGTTTTCTGCAGTTTCCTTAGCAGTTTTCTGACCATCCTGTCCTGTGGGAGAAGGTAACCAAGTAGCCTACTCTGTGACTTGGATGCATTTCATCCATTCTAAAATAAAGGGAGACGTCATAAGGAAAGTTGTCATCAGTTACAGTCTGGTACCTCTCAAAGATCCTGTTTTCCCAAGACATAATATCCATTGTAACTGTCAGCCTTGTTCGGAGTTTGGTATGTGACTCAGTGGGCCAGGGCTGGCATCAGGATCACTTCTTCACAGGTTGAACGGGACTTCAACAGCAGTGAAATTGGCGGTTCAGCAGAGGATACAATTTCAGGAGCAGAGGAAGGACAGAGGAGAGGAAAAATAATAAAGAAGTCATCTTGATAAATTTTATTCTGCTTGTCCTTATCGGGCTCCCCTACAATATCGTTGCTGTAGAATCTGTGAGCAGTGTTGTAATGCATATTTTGGGGAGCTGTCTTGTTCATGGTCTTGCCTTGCTTTGACAGACTGTTTCAGGTGATAGAGCTCATAGATGATGTCCTCGCTCTTCTAAATCTGGTGAGTCTTGTTAAAATATCTCATGTTCACCTAGCTTGTAAAGGGTTGGGGTTTCATGGTTGGTTGTTTTGTTTTTTTTTTTTTTTTTGTTAACATGTTTGTATGTAGATGTCAGAGAGCTTCCAACTTTGGTAGTGGATCTCCGCCAAAACTTAAGTCCAGAAGGACAGAATTCCTTTTTACCAAAGTGTCAGATAAGTGATAACTAACTTGCTTTTAGTATGCACATGTTAGTGATAAGTCTGCAGCACATTAGTCTAAGAAATCTAAGAAATTCTGCAGCACGTTAGTCTGAAGTTCCTCTGAGTGAACTGAGGAGTCTTCCACGGAGAAAGCTCTTGATGCTAATACTTTCTATGGCATCTACCCTCTGGGCTAAAGAAAATGCAATGCTTTGTCTTTTGATGCAGAAACTGTAATGGTGAATCTGAACTACAGCTATGGTCACAGCAATCTTTCTATTAAAAATCCTCGGAAATTCTTTCTCCAGTGTATTTGGCATATAGGAATATAAAATGTTTTAAAACTGTCTATCACTGAGAAACCAGTAGTGGTTTTTTATCACTTTTTTTAAGCTTTACTGTGGCCTAAATGTTTGTTTAAACAAATTTTTACTTATTTAAACAAAACTAGCAAACAAAAGCCACTTCATTTCAGAGCATATATTATTTAATGAGCCACATAGGAATATTTTGTTTACTGATAGCTATAGTGGTGAACTGTTTTCATGTAAAGCTTTTATCTTAATGTATTGTTTAAAATTCTGTTGCCTGACTGCGTATACATTCAGTTCATTTAATTTTTGATAATAAAAACAATAGGTTTAAATTATTTTAAGTAACACAGAGGTAACATAGTTCTTTTCTAATAGAGTTTTAAAGCAATGCATTTTTGTATGCTTGGGGTTTTTAGGGGGTTTTTGGCCTTTTTATATTTGAACTAGGAAAGTTTTCAGAGGTTTTCAGAGGTGAGTATCAGAAGCATTTGTTTAGGAGAAAAATAGCAAGGTGTGTTACTCTTGGCATTGCTACTCTAGAGGAAGTGTGATAAGAAACAGAAACAGTATTTTTTTGTGTGTTACTGGTAACAAAAGTCCACCTATTTCTAAAATCAGGCTGTGCAGGATGAGGAATCTAGAAGGTGGTTATTGGAGCTCTGAAAAACAGAAATGTCAACTCAGGACTAGCCAGAGGTAGCAGAGGTCGCTCACCTTCAGTAATGTCTTTTCTGGAAGAAGCATATGTATTAAACCAGTTTGTGTTGCATTTTCTAGACAAATCTTGAATGACTGGATTGCCAGGCTGTATTTTAAGCTTTCACTTTTCACTGTTTCACTTTTATTTTTGCTTAGGCCTGTATGATGATCATAACCTTCTTGCCATACACAGTAAGTCCTTTCTTAATATTTGTCTTAAGTTTAAATTACAGAAACTTTCTTTCTTTAGAAGGACCTTACCCAAAGTGTTCTGTAACTCAGGAGAGAATTACTGTAGTGTAAGCACTGAATCGACCACAACAGTTAATGTTGTAATCTTGAACTGCTGCTGCAATAGAGCTGGCAGAAAATGGCTGTTCTGGAAAGAAGGTGGCAGTAGTGGGAAGTGATGGCTTCTTGGAACTTTGAAAGGGTCCAACCTATTAGAATTTTGCATTTTATAAGGGAAATTATGTTATAAATTTCTTAGATTTTGAGATAAGATGTTGTGCTAAAGAGAACTTTTGCTTGCTTTTGACTTGTTCAGCAATGTTGCTTCTGGCACAGACAGTCTCCATTGCTAGATCTTTAGATTTGGTGTAAGAGAGCCTTTAGACTTAGACGGAATATGTACAGCCAAACACTACATGAATATTATAAAAATGTAGGTTTATATATATATATATATATATCAATATTTATGTATGAGTTTGTATATGAATGTATTTTTCTAAATTGCTTCTTAATTGAATGTTCAATTTGGCTGCATTTTTCCTTCCAGTTTTCTTTAATGGCCTCCTTCCCAGATGTACCTTTTGGCATTTTCCTGTTCAGTGTCTGTGCTGTCATCATTGGCCTTATCCAGGTATTGGAGCTATGGAGTTTACATTTGTTCTTTTCAAGACTAGATTTTATTAGGTAAAACTGCAGTTAGGTTTGTGAAGCATGGAAATAAAATACTAGGTGTCCTTTTTGTTTTTATGGCATTGTTTTACGAAGTTATGCCTGCTATGATAAACATAGTACCCGTGTACAAAAGAATGGTTGTGTAGCCGTTGTCCTGTGAACCTGGTCTATGCAACTAAATCGGCTGACCTCAAACTGCATTGAATTGTTAACTCCTTCCCTCCTCGTTAAAAACACATGTGGGAAATGGCAATTCGTGCACTGCACTGACCTTCTCTGCTGTGGTTATTGTTGAGCTGCCCAACATGGGCTGAGTGAGTCAGTGAACACAGATGTTCTGCTTTAATGCCCATTACCTTCCAGATGGCAGAATATTCCCCTTGGGGCAGTGCCTTGTTCTTTGCTGTTTCCCATTGTGGAGGTCTTTCTTGCACTTTATGGTAAGATCTGGGGTCATGACAACTCTGCAGGGCAAATTAAGATCCTCCTGTGTAATATATTGGAAAATCCCACAGTTTCTCAGACCCTCCATCCATGTGAAAGGGATGAATAAGCTTCAATGTATTGAAATTTGACATTTCAGAATTTCATGGCTTTGCAGTTAAAACACTCTATTTACTAGTATGTAACAATTTCAGTAATCCTGTTCTCTTTGCAGGCACTGATAGTAGCCTATGGATTTTATCACCCACACTTACTAAATCAACAGATACAAGTATCTGAAAACCAGAACTTCTATAAACGTCATATCTTAAAGATTATTTTAAGAGGACCGATTTTATGCTTTTTAGCAGCCATCTTTTCTTTTTTCTTTATCCCTTTGGTAAGTTATTTTAAAGAGTTCTTGTTCTAAAATGATTAATTAACATAAAACTTGGATGCAGCAGTTTGCATTAGCTATATTTAGGGCTAAGCATTAAAACAAATTATTTCTGTGCTAAATGTGTAGAATTTCTGTGTTGCCAGTTCTATCATGATACAGTCATGACTGCTGTTCTGTGATGAAGATGCTAGTTCAGAGAGTCATCTGTGATTTGATCTATGAATTTGGCTAGTCTGTAAAACTCCTGGTATTAGGCATATTTATTTTGTTTGCTGTGCATTTTTTTTAATCTCTTGCTCTTTAAAAGCAAATCTTTAAAACTGTAACTCAGCTGCTTGCTCATAAGAAGTAGGTGGGATAAGATGGAAAGCTACAGGAGCTAAACACCACATTGCCTAAAAAACTAAAGAAACTTTTTTTTTATTATTTATTTTTAGTTTTTGTAGCGGGAAGCAGAGTAAGTAGATCAGATCCAACTAGAATCCAAAACAAATATTTTTGGCCAAACTCTGCTTTTACGGAGCTGATTTCCTCACCCTGCTTTATTAAATGGTAATAAGCTGCTCTTGCTGAGTTGTTGCTATCTTTCATGTTATTTAGAATTGCCACTTTGAACTAAAAGCTGTTTTGTGGATGTATCCTGAGCTTCCCTGCCTCTGTCTCATTCTTTAGAAATAGATGTATTTAAGAAATATTTCATTAGAATTATCACTGAATAATTCCTAACTTTGGAAGGAATTGAATCAAAACTGATCAAGTGACACGGTGTAATGAGGCCCAAGTGGGACGATGCCTAGTTTTAATTGAAAATGTTCTGTTTTCTTCTCCTGTGATTTGCACCCTTACATCCTTCTACTCCCTCTTATTGTTCCCAAGTGTATTTTTTTGTATATCTGTAATAGTCAAATTACTCTCCTGGTTGCTGCTGTGTGAACAGCCTGTAATCTGTTGTGCCCTGTCTCTGGGACAGGAGTAACACATAGACCATGTGGCGTGTTTTACTTCTGCCCTAAAAACCACTGGAAAAAGAGACATAGAAGCATTTACACACTTTAAATAAAGACTTTAAATAGTGTCTGTCAGAAAACAGACACTATTAACACTCTAAATACTACCAGACATACCTGAGATGTTCTCAAATTTCAGAGAGGCACCTTTTTTAATTTTAGGTTTTGTAGTAACTGCTTGACAGAGATGTTCAATGTAACTTTAAAGAAGTCAGCTGCTATAAGGGAACCAGAAGAGATTTATGCACTTTTATGAAGCTCTTGCAAGAACAGTGGTCAAAACAGCAAGGCATTATGTCCCTGGCAGGTGTTTCTCTGATTGCAGCCAAAGAAACCCTTGACCCCTCTTCTGTCCCACTCCTCTCTGCCTGTCACTTTATTCCAATTCATTATTTTTGAGCAATATGCTGAAATTACAAGTCAATCAACCAAAGAAAGTGGTTTTTTTTTTTCCAGTTCTGTTCAGCTTTGACCATTCCCATGGCTATCAGGACAACTTTGCCAGCACAGTGCAGGGCTGCCTAGACAGTTCATTTGTTAAATGGGTTATTTTTGGCTGAAGGACAAGTGAAAAGTAACATTAGAAAGAGAGTAATTGCAAATTCCAAAGAAATGATTGCTACATTCACATTCTTGCTAGCAGAATTATGCCTTTTTCTATTTTAGCATTTGTAGCTATCCTCATTGCTGATGCTAAACCATGTCCTGAGCTTCTGAACTGGATATTAGGTTGTCCTCAGAATATAGTATATTTGGAACATAATATTCTGTCCTCCAGTTCTAGTGCCCAGGTGTGTTTTATAGGTGCATGTGCATTCAGTTGTTACTCATTAAATCACTGTCCAAAAATACCCATGTTTCAGATGAATCTCTTCCATGTCATGCAGTCAAGATTTGTTTTTTTCTTTTATGTTATTATACGTAAAGATTGAGAATAATTATTTCATATTAAACTTAAAAGCAAATTTATGTTCCAGTAGCTAAACTAAAACTGTCTTGCTTCCTCTCCATAGTCTTATGTGCTGCTTGGACTCGTTATTGTTTTTCCGCACCTCAGTCGATTCATTACATGGTGTAAAACCAAGATTGTTGGTGAGTAGCAATATTCATAAGGAGCATACAGATACACCATAAGTTGTCAACATACTATCCAAAAACATGGTAATGTTTTCTAGTCCCATTTTTCTTGATATCGACATTCTAATCTGCAAATGTACTGCTGTGCTTCCCAAACTGTTTCCCCCCTGCTTCGCTATTTTCCTGCATTTGTTAACTTGATGTGGAGCTTCTAGAGAGGGTTCAGGATAGAGTAGCCAAGATTGTTAAGGGGCTGGAGCATCTACAGTACCAGGAGAGACTGAGTGAGCTGGGCCTTGTTAGCCTGGAGAGGAGGAGGCTGAGAGGAGATCTGATCAGCATGTATAAATACCTGAGGGGAGAATATAGGGAGGAAGGGGCCAAACTTTTCTCCGTGGTGGCCAGTGACAGGACAAGAGGCAGTGGGTACCAGTTGAAACCCAGGCAGTTCCATCTCCATGTGAGGAAGAACTTCTTGGCTGTGAGGGTGCCCGAGCCCTGGCACAGGCTGCCCAGGGAGGCTGTGGAGTCTCCTGCTCTGGAGATCTTCCCAACCCACCTGGATGCCGCCCTGTGCCCCGTGCTCCGGGTGTCCCTCCTGGAGCAGTGGGCTGGACTGGATGAGCTCTAGAGGTCCCTTCCAGCTCAACCATTCTGTGATTCTGTGATATATAGTGTCTCCCTACGTTTTCCCTAATTTGTTACTGATCTGTATAAAGGACATGTTACAAGAGGATTTCTGTAAGAAAAACTCTCTCTGTTTTGTGCTAAATATACATGTGCATATGTGATGGCTCCCACCCACCTGTCCTTCCTCATTTAAAAGGTAACATGAGCACTGAAGAATACAGAAAACTCTCTGCCTTTCTTCCCAGCAATACTGTACATTTCCAGCTTCCCAAACTTAAAATCAACAGAGTATCTGAGAATCCATAACATGCAGCAGTAGTGGTGTAAGCCAAGCACTTCTAGCGTAGCCTGTTGTTCAGTCTGTTACTTCTGATCAGTTAATTACTGTGGTCTAAAGAAATGACTTCACATGTGCTTCAGGTCAGCCTAAACCTGTGCTGCCTGTCATCGTGCTCCTTGCTGTGCTCTTTTCACCTGCACTAACAGCTGCATAACCACACCAACAACTCATTAACTCTGCCAGAAAGGATGCTGCTGCTAAAGCAAGGGAGAAAACAACATTATGAAGGACTGTTGTCCTTTCGCAGCAACGTAAACTGACCACAAAACCACATCCAAGAGATTATGTTCTTGGAATTAGCACTGCATAAGTGAATCAGAAGAAAAACACGTTTGTGTCTGCTGCTCCTGTTTAACCTAGTCTTAACTCCGCCTGTGTTTGCTGCAAGTAGATGAGCACTTTTGGCTCTGCCATGGGGCAGTAACATCTCACAGGAAGGTAGAAGTGCTTTTGAAACAGGTGAAACTATGGCCAGAGAATAAATATGCACCAGTATTGACGGTGCCTGCTGCAATAGGTCACTACTGTGTGGGTCTCACTCCGTCACAGATGCACAGGTGCAGCAAAGAAAAGCCATCCTGGTCTTCTGCCTGGAACAGAGATCTTTGCTGTTTGTTTCTTGTTCTGTGAGTGCACTGCTAACAGATGTGATTACACTTGCTTTTGTTGAAATTCCTTTCTTGTTCAACAGCCTGTAAAGCTTTTCCTCCATGGTGCAGCAGCACCATGTGCAGTGGCTAATAGTGCAGTTCAGGCATGAGCTGGACATGTCCCTTTAGCAGCTCCAGAGCCCCATCTCCTGACCAGAGTTATTTTAAAACAGGTGGTTTGATTGACCTAGCTCTGGTGAGTTCTTTCCTTCCCGTGCAGTTCTCCACGCAGAGTGGAGGAGCTAGGCTCTCGGATGCTGAATCACACCTCAGGAAGCCCTGTTTTCCTTAGCTTAAATATTTGTCTTAATTAAGCGCCCAGACCACCTAACTTGTAGAAACAGTCTGCCATGTACTTAAAGGACAGCTTTTTGTTCCAGAAGTGCTAATTGTCCCAGAAGGTAAAACAAATCTCAGGCAGAGGCCCAGGTGCAGAAGCAGGTGTGTGACTGACCTGTGTGGATGAGGAACAGTTTTGTTTCCACAGAAAGTTTGGGTGCATGGAGGAAAAGACAAGGGGTGATCATTCGTTTTGTTTCATTTTTAGCTACCTTATTTTATACTTTCTGATTCTTTTCCTTCCTTACTAAACATCTAGTTCTCTTTTCCCAGGTGAAAGAGATGAAGAGGAACATGGTAGCTTAGAGACCTTCACTTTTTACCTCAGTGAGCCTCTGAGTAAGGAGCGAGTAGAGGCATTCAGTGATGGAGTCTATGCGATTGTAGCAACCCTGCTTATTCTGGACATATGGTAAGGCTTGTGCTGGCTCTCACATTTTGCATTGATAAATACAATATTATCCTGTGACTGTGTGTAATCTTTGAGAAATAAAACTAAGCAAGATCTTTGACTTTTAAAGTCTGCAGGAGTTACCATAAGTACAATTCTCTAAAGCATACAGAGAATTAAGAAAAGTCTTCTAAAATGCACATTTGCACATTTCAGCAGCGGTGATCACTAGCCTATTAAGCATATGTTGGGGTGAGATGATGTATTTGGAAGTCTTAAAAAACAAAGTTTGCTTTATGCTTTGTATTTCCAAATGAACGGCACGTATTAATAAAAGATTTTTAGTCCTCCTGGCAGTTCTGTTACGTTAACTGAAAAGAAAATGAGTTATATTTTCTCTCAGATTCAGTTCATATTCAGAACATCTATTGGAAATTCATTTTAACTTGCACATTGGAGAAATACATAAAAAGTAGGTGCCTGTTCATTTTTACTAGGTCAGATTAAAACATCATAGTTCAGTGTTGGTCCAGGTCTTTTCTCTATTGCTAACATGAAGAGTAAACTAAGTTTTCTCTCCACAGTGAAGACAATGTCCCGGATCCTGGAGAAGTTAGGGAAAAGTTCCACGACAGCCTCCTTGAGGCATTAAGTGAATACGGACCGAACTACCTTGCCTACTTTGGCTCTTTTGTAACAATTGGCCTTCTCTGGTTTGTCCACCACTCGCTTTTCCTTTATCTAACCAAGGCTACACGACTAATGGGACTGCTCAACATACTTTCTCTGGCTTTCATCGGGGGCCTCCCACTGGCTTATCAGCTTACCAGCGAATTCGCAGAGAGATCTCACAATGAAATAGAAGCCATCCAGGTCAGCTGCGTTATCACCTTCTTTGCCAGCATATTTCAGTTTGCCATATGGACTACAGCCCTTCTCCATGAAAGAGAAACTCTGCATCCTTTCGCTAGATACGGTGGCAAGGAGCATGCCTTCATGTTTGCCAAGCTTGCGCTCTACCCCTGTGTGAGCCTGGGCGCCTTCTTTCTGACGTGCTTGCTAAGTGAATTCAGCACTGCAATTTTCCACCTTATGCAGATTGTGATCCCATTTGCTTTCCTTGCCTTGCGCATTTTTGTCAGAATTGCCTTGGCCATCCTAAAGTCTGTGATGTCCTTCTCCAGAAGGAAGGTTGTGTTGTTAGAGGAAGAGGAGGCATGTTTGTCTTCTGGTGAAACGCTGTCCTAATTTTTTCATGCAGTGCAAGTGAAAGTGTAACATTGCATAAACTACATTAACTCAATGTGATTTAGAACTAAAGTATGCATTATATTGATCTAAACTAAAGCTTGTTTTGATCATAACTGGGGCATACTTAAGTTTGGTAATGCTTAAGACCCTTTCTCCAAAACATGTGATTGGAAAAAGTTGGGTTAGTAGGAGAGACAAGGAAAAGCATGTTTTCCTTCGTTTAAAATTTCCTCTTTGGAGGGAAAAAATGTTGCTTGAAGTGTAAGTGCAGTGATGATCACTTCAGAAGCATGCAGACAGATGCTCAGCAAGATGCCCTGTTCCTGACATCTGGAAGTCATTGTGGCAGCTGAACACAGGCACAAATAAATGATTATGCTGCTATGTGAAGAGCACATGAGGCCTGAAGACATGAAGGGAGACCTCTGAGTGGATTGATAGAACATTTATGCAAACGTTTTGGGGTTTTGGGTTTTTTTTTTTTTTTTTTTTTTTTGTTAAACCGTCTCTTCTGCAAAGCCACAGAATTATGGTGTTATTTCAAAAGTTACTTGCTTTTGAATGGCTCTGAGCTTGAGTTTAGGTGGAAATTGCAATTGGGACTGATGATGCAGTTTTCCAGGCTGCCTTAACACTTAATAGGAAAAATGTATTTAATAAATGAGGATTCACATAGTTACGTATCTAAGGTTTGAACTAGCTTTGTAATCAACAAGGGAAGAAACTTGAACTGTGGGACCACCAGTACATCTGTCCTCAGCTGTGAAACATGCTGCCCCTTTGAAAAGACAGAATGGGATTTCTCAGGGTTTTTGTGTCTGTTCTCCTGCCTGTTGAAAGGAACCTCCTTAAAAAAGATCAGCTTAAGTTTTGGGAGTCATGGAGTGCAGAGATTTTCCAAATACCTCTTCCCATGTTCCCATGTAGAGACTTTCTGAGGAGTTAATACAAGAAACACCTACAGATTTTGGAGCTGCAGCAAGAGGGTTGAAGGAACGAACCCAGGACCAGCTCTAGTCTCTGGAATATTGGGTCTTATGCAGCCAAACTCCCAACTTTTCCCTGCATATTGCTGAACAGAGGAGGTGTGCAAAGTCATCCAGGCTCTGGTTCCCTGGATGGTTATGTGTTTCTTTTGGGCAGAGCCATTAATTTTGTTTCTTCAATTGTCTTAGTGCCTGATAACTTTTCTGCCATGTCCAGAGGTATTTGAGGGATTTCATTTTTCCCCTTAAAAAAAATACTGTAGCAAAAGTATCTGGAATAACTGCTAACGGAAACAAAATTGTGGTTAGTTTCAGTCTAGATCAGTCTGAAAGCACTTATACTTTTTGTTTGAAGCACCTTGGTAAGCACACATAACATTTAGTGTTGGGTACTCTATGTAAGAGATCGTCTTCAGATATTTTTAGGGGTTTTATATTTGGTTGAAGCTGAAGGGCTGTGCACTGTCTTGTGTATTTCTGCGTTCTTGTGATAATTAAAGCACTTTCGGTTCTATATGGTTTTGTTTCTAATGTGAATAAGCAGTGAATATGTGCATTTGTAATAAACGAAAATAAGTACAAAATTCAAAGCCTCTAGATCTTTATTTCTTATATGTAGCAGAAAGCAAACATGATGCTTACAATTAAAATAATGCTGGAGATCTCTTTTTTTTCTATGAAAAACAAATACATGCTGTTCCATCTCAGGACTGAGGATTAATAAAACTGAGCATAGAACAGTGATTTGCTTCAGACAAAACCTGTAAGTTCTTAGGTGCTTCATTCCCATTCTAGTATCTTTTGCCAAAGTAATTAGGTAAATTAAAAACAGCTGCTTGTCAAGTGGAAGTTGGGGGCTTAAGACTCAAGTTTGTAGTAGGTCAGTAGTACTTTCATACCGAGATAGTAAAAAAAAATGAAATATGGAAGCATTTCTAATAGGCACATTTAAGGGGTACAGAACGTTAATATTTTCATTTGATGTTTCAATGATTTGATGATTCAATGATTTGATGACCTAAAGAAAAAGGTCCCTGAAAGGGAACCTGACTAAGGCTCTTACTGAGCAGTGACCTGTGTTGCATAAATACAAGAAGTGACTGTGTTGGCTGCAAAACAGAATTTCCTTATTTCCTTTTTTTTCTTCTTCCTTTCTACTTGCAAGGCCATTAGTGAAGCCTTCTGCAGAAAGAATGTTTTTTATGTAACTAAGGCAGCACTATTTTGACCAGTCTAAAAGTTTCTTTGGGAGCAGTACCTGGGAGCAGTCACCTTGACTCAGTTGATAGCATATCTGTTTGGGCTAAAATCCTGCTAGTCCGTGTCTTTAAGAACGTAGCTGTGCAATCAGGCTCACACTTCTGCCTCTACAGTACAGCATGGGAGGGCAAAAACACTGGTGGTCAAAAATGTCACCTCCTTAGATTACAAGATGTCTTTAAGATGAAGTAAAATATTGAGTCTTTAGGTTCTAAAAACGGGTGGGAGGATATGAGCTTGTAGTCTGCTGACCTCTTTTCTGTGACAGAGGAACAGTTTATTTAGCAGTGTGATAGCTTCTCACTGCTGGAGGAAATAATGATCAAATATTGAGATGCAGTGCTACATGTTCAAAGTATTTTGTAAGGCATGGATAAAAGCTGCAGTCATGAAATTAGTTTTCACTCATGCCATCCTATTAAAAAAAGCATTATTACTGTAAATTTTTAAATAAAACTAGAAAAGGACAGTTTCAGGAAAGCAGCAGCTCAAACTTATCAATACTATGCATGAATAGGAACCTGCACCCTAAATTCCAGATCTTCAAGACAACTTTTGTTTTTAAAACACCAGTGTTCCTGTTATGAAAGTTTGAGGCCACTTACGCAATGGCAAGAAAACTGCCTTTCCTAGAAAGTTGAGCTAAGTAGGAAAGAAAAGAAAAAGTTGCAATATTTCGGAAGTATGGAGTATGGAATTTTGATTTTACTGGTAAAGCTCTCCTAAACTCCTTTAATACATGTTTACTTGCACATATATATTTTATATATTATATATATTTTTTTAAACTGAAGAATTGTCTCTATTTCGGATTCCCAGAGGCTGTGCTATAATTTGATTAGCTACCTGCAAGACAGTAGGTGTTATTTACATTGTGCCAAGCCTTTGTGTGAATCACATGGTCAATTAAATTAACTATGTTAACGTTTCAAAATAAAGTATGCCAGCAGTGTTGTTCTAAATAGATGTGTTCTAAGCACATCCTCCTCGCTGCCATTTTTCAAAAAGACAGGAAAAAAAATTAACATACTAATATTATGGCAGCAGATAAAATCATTGTTCTTATACTAAGTCCCCAAGTGAGTTCTTCACAGTAGCCATCAACATCCCACTCAATTCAGTAATTCCCCAAAAGTAAAGATTTACTATGCCTAATCATCATTGGATTTTGTGATGTATTTGCATGTGGGCTTTGGCCTTCATTCAAAATAATTTAAAAGAATTTTTAATAGTAATGGACTTCTGGATTTAAAAAGAACAGCTCTCCCAAAAGGGAATTGTATATCCAGACACCTGAAACTAAATTTTTCCTGGATAGCTTTTAAACTTACCACTTAGCTTTTTCCCAAATAGACTTAAAAGCACTGTGAAATTAATGGGTCCAGAGTCTTCCTAGGGAAGGATTCTAACTTTTTTACATGTTTTACCTAAATTAGATCTTTCAATGAGCAAATAGCGTGTGATTCTTGAATTTATCATTACTTTATATTATCTGCTCTTACTGCTCCTGGTAGGAGGATGGGGAGTACAATTACCTAGTGAATATAGTTTTCTTAGTCATTTAAAGTTTTCAGCTTCCTTCACTTCATAAAATATGACATTTTTATCTTTTAAAAGGAAGATAAGCTCCTTTGTCACGCTGCAAAGAGATGACAGTTTAGCTAGAACACCGAGGTGAAATCTCACCTTTCTCCATCCCCTACTGACTATAGTTACCACATCCAAACAGGCCAGGGCTGGGATTGTTTTGCAGCATCCACATGTATACACGTTCCTCTAGGCTCCTTTATAAGAATGAAATAAAAAAAATGTAAATAAATATGTGTGTTGAACAGTGCTGCTACTTGACTTCCTAACATACCTTCTAGAAACGTGTGACACAAAGGGGGCTACAGACTTATTTTACACTCTCCAACAGTCAGGAGAATGAAAAGCTGCTGAAGGAGTGGGAACTGTTCTCCACAACATGCAAACCAAATGTGGCTCTCAGGAGATGCCATGATACATCCTGACAGCTTTAATTGTTTTTTTGTTTTTAACCAGAAAAAGAGGAATAATATACCCAGTGAATCTGAAACTAAAGAAATACAGAAATCACTATGTGAGGGATTGTTTTACATTACAGTATTTTTAATATTGAATACCTTGGGGGGTTCTGAACAAGACAAAAATACACATACATACTCATACATCTTAACAGCAGTTAAGTACTGCAAGATAAATATATCCCATAAAGAGATATGATCTGAAAATAAATACTGCAACACACTACATGGTTTTAGCAATAACAGTAATTGCTGTTCTGTACAAAAAGGTGTTTTTCCAGTATCATCAAGAAAGTGGATTATGCTGGCTCTTTGAGTATAATTAGAAACCTGGGTAATTTGCAAAACTATTTTTTTGGTTTTCAACCTCATTTGCTTCTAAATGCATTATTTGATTTTTTTTTAGCTATTTTGTCATTAATAATAGAACCAAAGATGTTTAGCTACTTACAAAATAAATAATAAATAAAGTATCTGCTATTAGGTAGTGAATTTCAGAGGTAAATGTCTGATTGCTGGTTCTCAATAAAATTGTATGTCCATATAGAAATCTGTGTCCTTCCAATCTTGCATATGAATCCATCCCTGTTATGATCAGTTAATATGAAAGCCTGGATGATAAACTGAATGAATACACACAGATATATTAGATTTTTGTTGACTATAGCTTCACAAAAGCTGCACATTATGTTTACTAGTCATTCAAACTAAGAATATATTGATTCATTATTTCTTTTCTACTTAAATGGGCATTTATGATTGAAGGGAAAGGTTAAGTGAGAATAGGGACATAGAATTTTAACAGAAAATTTATTAAGCTTTCCATACACTTAATTTGTTTGCCGGAACAAACATGTTGCATTTGACTTTTAATCCTATTGTCAATCAATCACAGTCTCCGTTTAAATATGTAAATACAAAGCAATATAGAGTAATAATTTGCAAACTTAAATTGCAAACTTAAATTGTATGGTCAAAGAGCATACTCAGCAGTGGAAGATCATTCCCTGAAATCCTGACGCTGCTGCATTTTAGGGTAATTACAAACCATTTCAGCACAAAACAAGAACGTGAGCTGGAATTCCCAGCACAGGTACCTACCACTGTTACCTGCCTAGCACACCTTTTCTTCCCTGTGTTTTTCTTCTGTGGTGAAAGCTACAGCCACACATCAGACAAAGGCACGATGTCAAGCACAAGTCTGAACCAAGAGAACAGCTCAGAAGACATCCCCTTTTCTGCAAACAGAGCTTAACATCTGCGCATTAATGCTTTCTGTAATAAACTCAATCAAAGTGCTGTTTCCAGCATGTTTCCCATACCCATACCTTATATACTTGATGCTGTTTTTCGTGACGCTTTAATTCTTCTAATTTTTTAGTATGCATCCGGTTGAAGAACATGCTGCAAAGTGTTCTTAGGGCACACCAGGCACCACCTTCTTTCTTTTTAGTTTTTGTTCTAGACTGGAGAAATGAGACAGATATTCAATCTAAATTCTGATTGAACCTTACCCTAATTTATCCCCCAGAAATTTACCTCCATCTTTTAAACTCTTGAGGTCAAGAGTAAGTCTGATTAAGCATTGTGTTTTCCTCGTTTCGGTTTTGTACTTCATAAAGCCACAACTCCTACACATATTTGTTTTCAGATATACCAGAAAAACACTGAAAATACAATGCATTCTCTTCTTTTGTCTCTCCTGACGCCCAGCGCCAGAAGAAAAAAATACCGCCTTCCCAGAATAGCTCCATTATTAAATACCCTCAGGATTTCATAGCTGGGAAGAGCTAACTTACAATTTTCACTGGAAAGAATGACATGCGATGCTGTCCTCGTGAAGGTGTCTTTATAAAGCATCCCCTCATGGCAAGGGGCAGATGACCAAGTTGTAGAGGAGGCACCAAACTCCTGAGGAGAAATCCAGGTGCCCAAAACATGTCCCATACAAAGGCAGACTTAACAAACCCTCTACTTCCAGGAGACTATAAGGCTGCGTTTATACCTGAAACCTTCTACTATCAGTTGCTGCACAGGGGGTCTGCTGCAGAGCTACCACACCCATTGGGATGTCACCACAAACAACCCAACGCACAAGGATGTTAATTAACTCGGGTAAATGACAGCTTCCGTTTAGTTTGCCACTGCTGTCTCATCTCACTTGCAGGCAGGGCTTAGTGCAATATTTATTATATATGCTCTCAGATACAATCACACTGAATGTGATGCTTCCTGCATTTTTTAAGGAGGTTTAATTACAGTTTTAGCTGCCTGTTCCCAGTGAAGGTGCCTTGAAACTTTATGTGGTTTTCTTTTACCTCAGATCTCGCAGAAAAGCAGCAGGGTCCATTCAGAGGTCCCCGCCAGGCTCTCTTTGAGTTGTCCTTTCTCTGTAGGCAAAAACAACAAAAAAACCCACATGATTATTTAGATCACAGTTCTGTCCTTGGAAGCATATAGCTAGTTATCCTTTACTGGATCTACTTTGTAAGCACAGAGCCTCTGTACAAGCTACAATTTTATTATGAAAATGTGATACAATGCACTAGCCATTACTTGTTAATGCAACCACCCCTCAACCTTCTATTTTTCCAGCCTCAGTCTATTTATTTTGTTTCTGTGGGAACAGTACCAACCATTTAAGCAGCCTTCTTGACCTTTATCTGAACCTTTGCTCAATTCTTTTTCTTTTTTTTTTTTTTAAGAAATAGGACAAACAGAAGTGTATAAATAGACAGTATGTACCTTCAGGCAGAAGTAAAATCCAGTGCTTCTGTTATATTTAATGCTATGTTGTCCTAAAGATGAAATTGTTAATCCGCAGAGCTCCAGTACTGCTGTGATAGTTCAACTAATCTTTTAATTTTGCACAGTTAACTTCAAGAGTACATTGCAAACCATTTCTTAGAGAGTGCTCACAAAAAGGCAGTATTTCAAAACAAATGCATTAGTTGGCTCTGGGGAGAATATCACAATACTCTCTAATTAACAAATGTTGCTACCAAAAGGCTGCTGCATGCAGAGGAAACAGGAAAGCACAGACTTCCTGCCAGGTTCACAGATACCAGTAAAAAGCAAAAACCACAGCTTGCACGGTGCTGTGGAATCCTATGGATACAAGAACCATTTTCTCCAAGCACTGTTACTTCCAGGGCTCTATCTGCGCTGCAGCCTCAGCTCTCAGCACCGTAGCCTTGGGGAACCTTGACACAAGCTACACTGCAATGCAATTACATTGTTATATGTTAATTGCTCCTGAATTACATAGCTCTGCAACCCAGGCAGGGTTGTGCAGGGTGTTGCTTGTGTAGACTGTTTGCATTAGTAAGATCCACTGTTAGCATGTGGTTTGTGCCGGCAGGTAATGGCACAAGGGCAAAGCTAACAGGAATTCCCACATGAAAGAAGATATCAACATATGGATTAATGTAAGTCACATTTTCCAGATTAGTAAGCCTGAAAAAATAAGTTAGCTACACAAAGGACATTTTCTTCAAGACTGTCTATAAAAAAGGACAAAATTCTGTATTGCTGCGCAAACAGGGATATGTGGCAGAATTTTTTCTCATCTCGGGTAACTCTTGAGAAGTAATCTAGACGAGGGAATCACAGATTTTCCTTCACAGATAGTTTTTAAAACACAGAAGGGCTGAAAGAAGACATAGAAACACACGGCGACACCCCGACGCGGTAGGCCGCAATACAAGATGGCGGCGGCCCCGCCCAGCCTCTCAACGGCCGCGCGCCGCCCCGCAGTCACGTGCTCGCGCGGCGCCCAACGGCCGCGCGCGCCTGGAGGGGGCGGAGCGCTCCCGCCTTTTCCGCCGAGAGCGTCACTTCCGGGCAGCGCCGCCAGCGCCTCCGCCGCTAAGATGGTGCCGCCCGTGCAGGTCTCGCCGCTCATCAAGGTGAGGGGTGGGGAGGACGGGGGCCGCGAGGGGCCGACATTCGCCGGGGCGCGCGCGCGGCCGTTGCGCGCGGCCGTTGCGGCCGTTGCGCGCGGCCGTTGAGCGCGGCCGTGTCTCGCCGCCCGCAGTTCACCCGCTACTCGGCGCTGCTGGTGGGCATGATCTACGGCAAGAAGCGATACGGTGAGTGCGGCGCCGGGCCCGCGGCGCCAAGGTGCCCTTGGGGCGGGCCGGGGCCTGACGGCGCGGCGCGGCCCGCCTCTCCCGCCCCGCGCAGACTACCTGAAGCCCATCGCCGAGGAGGAGCGGCGCGCCGAGGCCGAGGAGAAGCGGCGGCGCGAGGAGCTCGAGCGCATCGCCAGGGAGATGGCGGAAGGTAGCGCCGGGAGCTGCCTCCTGAGGGCGGCCGCGTGTCCCGTTAGCCCTGGGGGAGAGGCCGCGGCGCTGTAGGGGTCACCTTGGTCCGCACGTGTCCCCTGTGGAGGGGGTGTGCCAGGGAGGCTGCCGGCAGTGCCCCCTCATCCCCCTCCACAGCCCACGTCCCTGCTGTTTCCCATCCACGTTTCGTGGCCCAGCTGTTCTATATTGCCCCAAAAATCCATACCCGCGTCCTTAACATGATCTTTGAGCTTCTCATGCTCTCAGAATCAATGTGCTCTCCAGTCCGGGTTAGTTTAAGTGGGTTTTTGCTTAGGAAGAGCTTCAAGGAAACTGGGTGACGGTCCCTAAGCACAGTTGTGTTGGATGAGCTGCATGTTTGATGACTGTTTTCACAGGAAAGTGACACACTGGCAGTGTTTAAAGACTATTGATGCCGACCAAAAACATGTAAAGTTAAGGGGAAAAAAAAAAAAAAAAAAGATAACACCAAATATGCCAGCTGGTAGATTGTACTGCTTCCTGGAGACAGAAATACAGATCCCATCTCTGAGATCTCAGATAAACATTTCTTGCTCTCGGGCAGTGTGAATGGGATTTTGATACGTTCATTTCAAATGAAGCAACACTTTGCAGTGCAGACTGTGTTAACAGTGTGATTCTGTCATCATGACCTTAGCATGTCCAATCTGCCCAAGTGTCGCGTTGGTCACCGGCCGCCTGGGTGGCTTTGTTACGGATGCCCAGCAAGTAAAGCGGCAGTCCAAGCTTCATTCCATGTCGCAGAGCAGTTGTTGGAGGCTGTTGCTTAAAGATGGGCAACTGGAAGCATCTGAAGTTACAGCAATTTTGGCTTATTTGAATTGCTAGTTAAGAAAGCCGTTACTAATGACTAAGGCCACAGTTCTACTTTTAGCAGTGAAGCCAAGTGCTGTTGAATTAGCAGAGGTGTGAATAGTAAAAACAGGCTGAAAAGAACAGGTAGATGTGGAGGTAGCCCAGTAATGCCTCCCTGTGTTTTGCTGGAATGTGTGCAGGAATGGCCAGTGCTTCCAAACATGTTTGCTTGTTCTTTCCTTCCAGCAAGCGAAGATTCCATATTGAAATGAACAAAAGACCGGATCACACTTTCTTTCATGGAAGTACCTGGCTAGGCTCTGAACGGATCAACTCTGCGTATTGTTCTATCAATAAAACACTTGAAACACTGACTGATTTTCTTTAAGTGAATTACACAGAAAAACAACACAATACTTGCAGAATATGGAAGAAGGTCCCAGGTCTTGGCTTGCCCAGGGCTCTGAATGGGTGTGTTCAGGGGGTTAGTTACAGTCAGCAATGGGTTATGAACTGAGTGGGCACTTTCTTTGAACCAGGGATGCCCGGTGGGTCCCTGAGGATGAGGGTGCAGGAATTGCCCCCTAAACACCTACCTCTGCAGGGCCAGGGGAACAAATGTACATTGAATTTGAAATCCAGAGTGAACGGGTAAAGCCGAGGGGGTCTCTCTTCATCCATGTGGAGCCACCCAGGTGGCCAACTGCAGGTTATACTCAGGCTGAGAGAACAGTTGAAGGGCATGCACAAGCTTTTCCTAAAATTATCAGAATTGCAAGAAAAAAAGATGGGAGACAAAATCCCATCCGTCTGCAATGAAGCCCTGCCTGTGTTGAGGGCTAACAGTGCAGGCAAGAGGCCAGGCTTGCCCCACCTCAGCTTAACCTGCTCCTACTGCAAGGGAGCAGCAAGGAAGGGCCCCGGTTGTGTCGGTGTGAGGAGAAGCAGCGACGTTTCTGCGTGGGGCTGCACAGGTGAGCGGTGTGACAAGTGGTGCTGCCTTTGCCACCAGCTGCTCCAAAAGCCACGCAGCACCACAAGACTAAGCAGCAACAGCAACCTGAACTTGAGCAGTAGCTCTGTCTCTGCCCGTGTTTTTGCCCTTCTCCAGACCTGGCTCTTCTTGGAGACCACAGTTGGAGCACGTCACAGTGAGTACAAGGGGTGGGAAATTAAATTCTCATATTTATTTCCAGACAAACATTAGAAGTCATAAACAGCTTTCTCAGCATAAGACATTTAAGTGGCTTATAGTTAGCAATCCCCTTCTTACAGCTTTGGATAAACTAGTGGCATTTTGCCTGCTGAAAAATGCCTTCTTTGGCTTGGTAATCTGGAATTGCTGCTCCAAGAAAGCCTCCTACACGGTTCATAAAGAAGCAGACACGCAGACTAAAAATAATTTGGCTCCTAGCAGCCTATCTAACCTTCATGCCAGTGGGCAGGTTTATGAAAGACAATGTGCTGCTCACACACCTGCTGCGTAGCGACAGCCGACTGTTCCACGTTGGGTACTCTGGGACCAGCAAACAGTCACCAGACACTACCGTGGCTCTAGCTTTGCTCTTACTTACAGTACTTCTGTAACGCAGGACAAGTTACTGGAGGGTAAAAGCACTGAAGGTAGCAGAAGTAACAAAAGATGATTAATATCCCCTCGAGAAAACAGAACTCTTGTTACATGGCTTATATACTAAAACATTTACACGGTGTATATATATATAACAAATCCTAAAAAAAAAAAAAAGCAAAGAGAAAGAGCAGAAATGCTTTTCTACCACTGTCAAAGTGTAAATGATTGTTCTAACACGGTTGCATGAATCAACATGAAGAATACTTCATATCTGAAATAAGGAGCACAAGTCTTGCAAAGTTTGAAGTGGAATGGAGAAAAACAGACATCTCAAAAACAGGAGGAAGAAAGGAAAGACTGTACTGTTCACAAGAGAACTGCATTAAAACATATTGGCATAACAATGTCAAACTGAATGAAATGAGGAGGTGCTGCAGTTCAGATTGCTTGGGTGACTGTAAGAGGAACTGCTGTGAGGGATGGTAACACCATCCTTTAGGATCACACTCACGCCACAGCTGCCACTGTTAGTGCACAATATGGATCCCCACAAGAAGAAGGTAGCTACTGAGTCCTGAGGGAAGAGTAGCAAGCTTTATAGCAGCAAACTATTCCAATTCTTGAAGTTATTGCAAAACTAATATTGCCATGACTCTTCTTTTTCTTTTGGATATTTAGGGAAACTAAGCTTTTTAGACCAGGTCAAAGGTCAGTTTCCTATGGTGAGTTTTCACACTTTATCCCACAGATTACTTTTTTCGTATCCTTCTGAGAGATAAAGAGTTATGAGAAATTCAGCTCTTCAATTTTCCTACCCTGCAAGCTGTCACAGGCCGTCAATCACATGAGGCTGAGCAGGACATCAATTCAGCTGGCCCCATTAGCACTGGGATAAGAAGTGCTTCAGGGCAAGAGAAATACTTCTTCCACAGTCATGCAACCTGATTTATTGGGCCAAACGTTGCTGTGACTTGCCATATCCCCTTGTGACGTCAGGTGCACTGAATGCAGTGAGCGATGGGACAGAATTGGTCCCTCACTATCAGGAAGCGATGCAATTAAGGCAAACGAGATCTAGCCCTTCCCTGGCTGGTCATAAGCCTAATTTAACTAGCAGAACAGTCCAATTAGGAACAGATTTGTCATGGCATTGCTTTTTTTTTTTTTTTTTTTTTTTTTTTTTTTTTTTTTTTTTTTTTTTTTTTTTTTTTTTTTTTTTTTTTTTTTTTTTCATTTAAGTCTTGTATATCATGTTGAAACTGGGTCTAAAGTATACTGCAAGTTTTAGAAGCTGGAGCTGTTCCTCCGTTACAGGTTACTCCATCTGCCGTATAAGAAGAAAAAAGAAAGAATTAGAACTAGTCATAAATGTGCTAAACACTTTTCTTATTCTGTAAAGTATTTATTTAGTACTTTTAAACAATCAAGTGATCAATGTATATCATGCCTAAAACATGTGTATTTAGAAGTGTATTTCTGGAATCTTGTCAGAATCAATCAGAATTACCAAAGTACACCTAATTTGGGCTAGAAACGGGATGAACAGTCATTCTTCAAAATCCTCCTGCAGATCCCAGGTAGAGCTCATACTCTCACTACTTTTTCAGCTGCACACAGGCATTCAGCAGGCAGACTTTTTATCAGGCTATCGCAGTTTCAGATTTGAAAACAAAGTGCTTAATGGAGGGATTTCTTTAAAAAAAACCTAGCCAACTGGACAAAATCAAGGAAACTGTTCTTTGCATTCAGGACATTCTGTGACTCGTTGGACCTACCTAATGACAGGCTCTCTGCTTTTGGAAAGCTTCCTACAGATCCAGCAGGATATTGGCTAATTACATTTTGAGTCAGGAATGAAAATACAAGTGTTCTTTTCTGACCTTTCATTGCAGCCTTTTTCTCTTCCTCTCTTTTCTTCTCTTCCTCCAGAGCTTTCATTTTTGCATCATACTCATCAGCACGAGTCTTCCACTCATTCCTGTTGTTCAGCAGCCCATCAAGCATTGGCTGAATTTCCTCATGAAAACGTGAAAATTCCTGACCAAAACACAACCATCAGTGCGATGCTGTGCAGAGTTGGCACGTTCATCCTGATCCCACAGGATGGGCGCCTATCCCTGATTATATGAATACATATTGACCAGGATGGGTGTGCAAGGCTGTGCTTACCTTATAGACAAAGGTGCACACAAAGTCGATGAAACCCACTTGAAGCTTTGGGAGCTCAGCTGCTTTTCTTCTGTCCATCATGGGCTAGGGGGAAGACAGGAGTCCTTCATGACTTATGAGGACACTTCATTAAAAACACACACCCTTTTGCTTTCACCTCAGAACTGCCCTCATGCTCTGCCACGCTCTCCATAAGGGCTGTCGATCACAGCCCTGTTCCTCCTCTGCAGGAGGATGAAGTGGGATCACTTTAGGATAAATATGAGATGTCTCTTTCCATGCCATTGGGTGCAAGGAGTACAGAAAACATTTTCTTTCTGCCCCTCAGTAGGATATCTGAGAGAAGGGCCATGTTTTTAATTGCCAAAGGAATATTTAAGGCTTTAAAACACTCAGCTGAACATTCAGTGATGCTGTTTTAAAATCCTCTTGCTTACGGTATCACTTATGAGGCATCTGTGGGCAGAGGGGGTATACGGAAGTTTATTTAACAAGAACCCAAGCCACACAGATAAAGGCCAAGTCATAGAACAACTCTTGACTCTATCCAAAACAAACTTAAGTATTTGTAACTGCAGCAGAAAAATTAAATTTGAATGTGAATGCAAAATACAATTCTCCCCAATTCTAACTATTTCAACATTTAGTTTCTCATCTGACATGCATTAGGAGGTGTATGTGAGTTTCCTCCCACACCCTGAAAGGATCACATTTTGTGATGTGTTAAGAAATGATGATCTAAAGCACATTAATTTAACAGAAATTATTTCTGGACTCTCCAGATTTTGTTCGTAGCTTTTTCTCATTACGGGAAACTCTGTTTTCCCTTAGGTTACAGGTATCTCATTTTAGTCTTCTCCACAAGACACCATCCCAAAATCTCCAGGAGGAACCTTGCTGGCTCACGGCCAGTGCAGAGCTTGTCGAAGGGCTCCCTGTTTGAACTCCCACATTTTCAGATGGATCTGGACTGGCAGTATGGCCAGCACCTCAAGGTGGTGGTGTTTGCATTGCCCTCTGCTGAGACACAGTGAAAAGCACGGACTTGGAAACTGTCTGGCTCTCATGTGTCACTTACGATAGGTTGTTGCTGAAGCACGCTTATTTCTAAGTCTCCTTGCTCCCAGAACTCAGCTGCTACGAGCAGAGCTACCTACATGGTGGAAGAGGGGAAAAAAATATCACTGCCTTGGATCACTTCTAAATCAAACACTTCAGGTCTTTACCTACAAGCAAATCCTACTACTAGCTCCTTTATCTTCATCTTTCCACCCCACAGTATCCAGACCTTCCCCAGATCCCTGCTGGGAGTAATTGCTGCAGGTAGCAGGACCTCAAATGCCCGCTTTGCACCACAACTCCTTGGTTCGCAATTCCTCTATTAAGATAAATTCAAATCATGTCTCCTATAAGGATTTGCTTCTTGGACCGATGCTGGTCACAAGTGTAGCTGCCTATTAGAGTTTTCTCAGTTTCCCCTTTTTCATGCTGAATAGGAAGGTATGTTTATTTATTTTTGTTTATTTATTTATTTATGTTTATATAAGTTCTACTGTTTCTTACTTAGAAACTGATCAAACACATGCAGTTCCAGAAGGAACTCCTAAAGGAAAACAAGCAATTGATCAGAAT